AGCTCCTTTTGTAATGGAGCCGGCTCTACATTTTAATAGGGCCAGCTCTCTTGCTGGGAAACACCTACCGGTGCATTTTTGTTAATTTTTAGGATTTCAGGTAGGGGTGTGCACGGTCCGATTTGAACCAGATTTAAGGTATTTTGAGACCAAACCATTTACAACAGTTCCATCATTTTTGAAACCAGACCAAACCATAAAGTGCATGGAACCAAACCAAACCAAACCAAACCGCGAAAAACCGGGTTGGTTCGGTTTGGTTTGTCGATTTCAGTTGATTTCCCTTTTATTATATTTTAATTTAGATGGGGCAAAGTTATATATATATATATATATATATATATATATATATATATATATATATATCAACTAACATTGATATAACACGTCAAAAAAAAAAAAGAATTTTAATAAGAAATAAAGGAAAGAAAATTGAGATATATTTGAAAGGAAAGAAAATTGAAAATTGAGATATATTTGAAAGGAAAGAAAATTGAGATATATTTGAAAAGGCAAATTTGACTTTTTTTAAAAGAAATTAAAGGAATTTAAAGAACAAAAGAAAGAAAAGGGGCACGTGAGAACTTTACTTGATTTAGGTTTAGAATATGATATACATATATAAATATATATATTATATAACATAGTAATGGTTCGGTCCGGGTTGGTCCGGTCCGACACGACTCTAAACCAGGACCAGACCGAAAAATTATGGTTTCATAATTTTGGGCTCATGACCAGACCAAACCGCTATACAACTAGCCCAAACCGCCCAACTCAGCACGGTCCGGTCCGATTTTTTGGTTTACCGGATTTTTTGAACACCCTTAATTTCAGGGCTCCAGCGTAGTTTGGAACTTGTATGTAAGGTTTTAAATGGTTTAAATAAGCATAACAAAATCTAAGAATGAATAATCTATGCTATGAACTTGAACATCATGAGATTTAAAATTAAATTTGCATGCTGTTAATAGCTTGGAAGGATTTAAATTGTTTGTCGTTATGTTAGCAAATTAAATGGATGGATATAAATTTACTATTGTAAATTACAATATAATATACTCAGTTAAGTATCTAATTTTTACTATACTCTTCTCTGGATGTTAATTGATGAATTACTTTATTTTATTCTATCAATTATTGGATATGGATGATTTAAATTGTTTACTTTTACTCTAGCAATTTAAGTAGATGTTATATGATTATAATCATATATTGGCTGCATAATAGGATCTTATATATATATATCTGACTTTTATTATGCTTATTACTGGATGTATGTGATGTTCATATTAATTGTTGCATCATTTATTGGAGTTTGTGGATTATATGCACCAGTATGGGACGGTGGCATATTAGGAATGGATTAGATCAAAACGCTAATTCCTACCTATTTCATACATAACGGAATGGATTAACTAAAAAGTTATATCCTACATGGATTCTTATCAGGTCAACTAAAACAATTGAATGACATACCGGATGTTTGTTTTATATTCTGTATTAGGAAGAATTTTATATATATATATATGATTATGGTACCATGATATGAGCTTGAGTCTCAGGATCATGGTTAGGGTGCGTATATCACATAAAATGAGTAACTAGACATAGTTGATGTTCCCTGGTAGGTCTAGGTATACATGGCCACTTTATGTGCGATTTACACGTTACCTTCTGTTCAGGTTGAGACAAACTTATGGACTAGCGAGCGTCCTATAGTGTGTATTTATACATATATGTACTACTTAGCTATTGTTGGGGTTGTCTAAGATGTATCTGCGTATCGGATCTCTTCTTGAATTGTAGTAGAGTAGAACTTGTTTGTAGGCCTGACCCAGTATCAATTTTCAAGTATTCGTCAGGAGTAGGGATTGCTTGTGCTGAGTAGGGATCGTCTACTTCATTTCTTCTGGATTGTGTTACTTAGGAGTTTATTTATATTCCAGATTTCTGATGTAGACAGTTTTGTTGTCATTTGGTTAGTTTGGTTTTCCAGGGTCCACATAGTATGGATTCCTGAGTTGTATCAATGGAGGATTATTTGTATCAAAAAAATTTATTAATAAAAATTTATTCTGAGGTTTTCGTTAATGGATTATCGTTTTAGTTTTCTTTCAGCAATTTTATTTATTCTTTTTGTATCAATGGAGGATTATTTGTATCAAAAGAATTTATTAATAAAAATTTATTTTGATGTTTTTGTTAATGGATTATCGTTTTAGTTTTCTTTCAACAATTTTATTTATTCTTTTTGTATTATATTTGTATTCTGTGTTTGATTATTGCCATTTATTTTTTATATCCTTGGGTATTCGGGCATAGGCCTGGTCAACCTGCATTTGGAAATCCGAGAGTATCACATTTGTCCCTATGCTCCAGAGGTTGTCGCATTGGTTGAGGGGCTGTGAATCTTACTTTGTTCTCTTGGAATAATCGGGCCAATGTGGTACGAAAAGGGGTTAGCCTCTCCTCGGTCCTTTGCCTTTTCTCAGGTGGTTAAACAACTGGTATCGAGGCATATTGGCTTCTTTGATTTTTTGAACTCGAGGCTTTTTTCCCGAGGCTTATTTTCTACCGTAACGAGGGTGGCCACATTCTCCTTAAGTCAGATGTAAACTTGCACCCTAGCATTAAAAGTCTGCATGTCCGGAGGGGAGTATTTGACTATTGAGGTATAGAACTTAGTCCCTTGGGTCATATCGATCTTGAATACTTCGATGGTTGTTTCAGGGTGACAGTTCGCTATCTCCAAAGTTTCCATGTTATACCTGGACAGGAAATCTTATAGCGTTTCTCCTCTCCTCTGCCTTATAGTGAAGAGACTAGCAATAGTCTTTTTCTGCTTCTTATTACCGCAGTACTGCACTAGAAATATGACGCATAAAGTTTCATAATTCGGGATTGACTTATGTGGCCTGTTCTTGAACCATTCCAGTGTGGCTCCTGTCAAACTAGTTGAGAAAACTTTGCACATGAATGCATCGTCGTGATTATCCAGAGCCATCTTTTGGGAGTAGTGATCGAGGTGACAAGATGGATCTTCCGTACCATCAAACTGAGTAAAGGCCGGCATGGTGAATTTTTTAGGTCTTTTGACGTAGTATATCTGATCAGTGAATGGAGTCTTCACCAGAGAGGCCTTATGTTCCTTAGCCATCTGAGTAGGTGTCTGGATCCTCAAGAGCTTCTTTTCATCAAAGAACTCCTAAACGACATCCTGAACGCCATTTATCCACATTGTGAGCTTGCGACTGGACTCGGTCTATTCGTCTTGTGTGCGCTGGGGGTGGTTGTCCGAAGCTACCGCCTCGGTTCTTATCCTCTGCTCCTGCCAACTCTCGTTGGCTTGAGCTTCGTCTACAGGAGGAACATTGTGGTTGAGGGGGACTCCCGCTGCATTGCCTAGTGGGGGTTGTGCTGCTATTTGTTCCACGACTGTTTAGAGAATGTCATTCATTTGTTGAAGCAATACAATCTAAGTCGTACTAGCCTTGTTTGCTTGACGGAGAGTTTCGAATTGCTGCAAGAACTCTTCTCACATCTTCTGCATTAGTTTCATCTGTGGATCAGCTGCGACTCCTCCGACTGACATCCCAGATCATAGTTCCATAAAAGATCTCTAATCACTCGTGGGGGTATATTTCTATACACTTCCCACAAACATCACCAAAGTGTAGGTGTAAAAATTCATTTAATTAAAAAGCCGAAAGAATAAATATAACTCACTCAAATAAAAGAACAATTAATAACAAGATCAATTCAGAGAAAAGCTTGTAATGCTTGATGATCTTTATTGGAGGTCTATGCCTCTATTTATATACAAATTGAGGTAGAATTATGATAGGATTCGCTATACTTGTCCTCCACGTTTCTTCCATAAAAATTTCATTCCATATACAATTAATCATTACATATAAGGTTCTTTCTATATATAATTCTTTCCATGTAGAACTCTTCCTACGCAGAGTTTCCTTCTATAGAGGATCCTTTGTTAGGTAGGATTTGATTGATCTGAACCGGGCTTGGACCATATTGTCAGTGTGCCAGACGGGTCTTTTAGCAGGCCGAGAAGTTAATGTTAATAACATTGGGCCAATGATGACTTTACTTGGGCTTGATCAAGAATGGGCTCTAGAGGGCTAGTGGAGAAATAATGTGATAATACATTTTTTAATGACGTGGCTGATTTCTATTAGTAGGGGGGTTTTTCCCTCCACAATACACAACTTTGAATAAGAATAATATAATAATCTATATTACTCTCTAAATCTCCAACAAAATTGTTTATTTAGGGAAGAAAAAAAAATGAAATTGTTTATTTAAATTCTTATACTACCTTTATTTAAATAATAAAAAATAAAAAAACCAAAGATCTTAATTCAACATAAATTTATAACCAAGACCCTTGTGCTGCATTAGGTCTGTAGAAATAGAATGCAAGTGCGAATGAAATGAGAATGGGAATGGAATAGAATGTTCATTCTCATTCTATTGTTTGGTTGCAAATATGAAACGCATAGGAATGGAATTATAATAAGTAGTAACTATTATATTGTTTGGTTGGATTAATTTAAAATTTAAAATGAAATGAATTTTAAATTAAATTCTCTAAAATACATCTGTTACGAACAAATAAATTAAATTAACATAATAACATTCTTCTATAAATTTTTTTAAAGAAATAATAGTGATAGTAGATGGTGGTGGAGGTGGAAGCTGTGGTGGTATTGGAAGACAGTGGTGGTGGTGATGGCAAAAGGCAATAGTGGTGTTGGTGGAAGGCGGTGGCAATGACGGTGGTGGAAACAATGGTGGAAAGCGTCTGTGGTGTAAGTGATAGCTGTGGAAGGTAGTGACGGTGACATTGGTGTGGTGGTGGTGGAAAGCAGTGGAGATGACGGTGGTGGTGGTGATGGTGGTGGCGGTGGTGGTGGAAGGCAGTGATGGTGGAAGGCGGTAGAGGTTGGTGGAGGTGGCTATGGTGGAAGCGGAGGTGGCTATGGTGGAAGTAGTGGTGGCGGTGGCAATGGAGGAGGCGGTGGTGATGGAAGGCAGTGGATGTAGTGGTGGTATGGTGGTGGAAGGCCAAAACAGTGGTGGTGGTGGTGGAAGTGATAGTGGTGGAAGGCGGTAGTGGTGGCGATAGAAGTGATGGTGGTGACAATGGTGGTAGTGGTGACGATAATTTTTTTAAAAGAAATAACAGCGATAGTAGATAGTGGTGAAGGTGGAAGCGGTGGTGGTATTAGAAGGCGGCGGTGGTGGTGGTGGCAAAAGGCAATAGTGGTGTTGTTGGAAGGCAATGACAATGGCGGTGGTGGAAGCAATAGTGGAAAGCGTCTGTGGTGTAGGTGATAGCGGTAGAAGGTTGTGACAATGGTAGTGGTGTGGTTGTGGTGGAAAGCAGTGGAGATGACGATGGTGGTGGTGGTGGTGGTGGTGGTGGAAGACAGTGGAGGTAGCGGTGATGGTGAAAGGCGATGGCAGTGGTAGAGGTTGGTGGAGGTGGATATGGTAGAAGTAGTGGTGGCGATGGCGATGGAGGTGGAGGAGGAGTGATGATGGAAGGCAGTAGTGGTGTGGTGGTTGAAGGCCATGATAGTGGTGGCGGTGGAAATGAAAGTGATGGAAGGCAGTAGCGATGGCGATGGAAGTGATAGTGGTGACAGTGGCGGTAGTGGTGACGATAATTATGAGAATAGTGGTGGAAATGACCATTATGGAAGGCAATAGAGGTGGTAGTGGTTAAAGTTGATGGTGGTGAAAAGCAGTGGAAGAGACGTTAGTGGTGGTTGTGAAAGGTAGTGGAGGTGACGTTGGCGGTGGTGGTGGAAGGTGGTAGCGGAAGGCAGTGGTGGTAGTGGTGATTTTTAGACTTGGAACATGAAGGTTTTTTAGGAACTTAATTTTAAAAAAAAAAAAATTACTTGAGAATGGAATGGTTATTCCATAGGTTTAGTTGTGAAATGAATTTTCATTCTAATAGAATGCCTATTCCTATTTTAAATTGCATACCAAACAAATGAATAATTAGAATGGACATTCCATTCCTATACATCAAATGCATCATTACATTCTAATGGTATCTTTTTTACAATTCCAAAGTATTTAAGTTTCCAAAAGGACAAAGTGGGTGTGTGAGTGAGTAGTGTGTGTTTCTTGTCAATTAAAAATTAAAAAAATAAAAAAAAAACATATAAATTTATTTAAAATTATTATCTTATTTAATAAAAATAAAAACAATTTCTGCAATTCATAATAAGAGTATTTTTTGTTTAGTAACTTTTATGCTATCCAAATCATGAAAGGATACCTTTTCATAACTTTTTTGAAATATATCCATGCAAATGAAATGAATTCTAAAATTTTATTTTTCTTTTATTTGATTCACTTTCTTTCATATTCACTTTTCACTATTGATTTTCATCTAACTAAATTGACTGAGAAAAGAAAAAATATATATATCGAACATTTTGTTTTTTTATAACAATTTTCTATTTTATGAGAACTTAAAAATAAAAAAATTGTAAAAATATCTTTTGGTTGACTATTTCTTAAAAAGAATAAATATTTGGCTAACAATTTCTTAAAACATTTTTCTGAAGATTTGGATAAAAAATATTTTGCCATTTATGGTTCTTTGAAAATAATTTTATATTTTTCAGATTTTTGGGAATTATTTTTGAAAAAAAAACTGAACTAAACAGCCCATCTCCTCTCATATTTTCTCTCTTATTCTTGTTCTTCATATTCTATATTTCTCCATATTTATTGGCATAACTAGATAAGAAAAGAAATATATTTTCTTCTCTCTTTTCCTCGTTAAGGACTTGTATGGTATCCGCCTTGTTTTTGCATTTTTATTTTAACTGGAAACAAAATAAGTGTTTTGTTGTATAGTGTTTTGAATAATAATCGAAAGTATCTTTCGTAATATCTATTTGTTGCAAAAATTTTGAAAGCAAAAACATAGAAACATGTTATAAAAAAGTGTTGCAAGTTTAAAAAGTATAATGGCTAGTTTTAAAAAGTCATTTGTGAGTTTATCAAAAATAATAATAATAATATTGGGGTAGTGTAAGTTCATTACTACAGCACCCGTTGGTACAGTGCAAAAACTTGTAAGAACACCAAATTAGTATTTCGACTGTTGGCCATTATTCAGGAAACATTTCAATACTATTCAAAACAAAATATTTTTACCACGTGCGTTTTTTTCACTATTTAGGAAACGTGTTTTTGTTATAGCCGACAAAAACAAAACGCAAACCAAGCAGACCTGTCAACTCTCTCATGTCTCGCCTGAAAATTAAGCACCCAATATAAGATCACTGAATCAACTTCTCAAGAAGGTTGAGAAGGTAATTTCTCTCTGTGACACTACCATTGCTGAACACTTTTGCCTAATATAAAAAATAGGCTAAAAAAAATAATAATAAATTTATAATTTTAGTGTTGATAAAATTGAGATTTGAAGGCAATCCACTTCTTGGTAGTTCCATTAAATAGTTGGACCCATCGCATGTGAATAAATATTGTAGGCTACCAACATAAAATGTACAGGGTAACATGGCTGGGAGGCAAAGGTGGAAGGCCAAGTACTTAGATATATAGGTTACAATTAATTTACAACATATTGTATTGTAGTACTATATTTATATATGGGTTGATGAAAAGTCCCAAATGTGGGGTCTTATGGTCTTAAAAGAGTAAAATAGGGCTGGTTCAATGAGATTTCCACTGTAATTCAACCTTTTCTTTTTCATTTTTGTCCCTCTTTTTATTCACCTTTGCTTTTTCCCTTGTCAGTCTGTCATTGTGTAGAAATATGTACATTTTCACCTTTCACCCCCCAAATTTCTAGGGTACTTTACCGTGACAACCATTCTAGGTTCAATTAAATGAGTCGTTTATAAATTAAGGGTTTTTGTCCTTGTCCATGTATGAGACTATGAGTGTCTTTTTTTCTTTTCTTTTCTTTTCTTTTTTTGAAAAAAAAAAAAAAAAAAAAAAAAAAAAAAAAAAATTCTTTATCTTGATGAATTTGGTTTGCAATTACTGGAATTGCTCCAAATTTAGGATTACTTCCGCGACACTATGAAATTTAACAACTTTTGTGACCTATTGTTAAGAGTAACGAAACTTCTTTCAAAACATACAAATTTCTGAATGTAGCTGATGATATATATATATATATATATATATATATATATAAAATGAAGTACCACACGAGTGAATGTATAGGAATTCAAATATACTGAATCACCCATTTTATGATCTTTTACCTCTTCCCGTTCCGTCATCGGGCTTATGTAATTTTTTTTTCTTAAACTAAATTCAAATATACCCCTTATACTCAATTATCAAGAACAATAATGTCACTTCACCTACATTTATCAGCTCCCTTGATAACCACTTCTTAATAACCACTATTTAGTTATTTAAGCCATAGCTTAAGAATTAGCCTTCTCAAGATAATAGATTTAATCAATTCACACGTGATTCTTGATTGACAACATAAATAGAAACAAGTGGTCTCAATTTAAGATTGGTTCAGAACACCCAAGATAATAAAAGAGGGGGAAAAGAGTTAAATAATTAAAAGAAATTGTATCATTTAAATTTATATTGAAGTAAATGTTTTCTTTACTTCCTTTTATTTAATATAATATTATGAACAGAAATCATACTTAAAGAAAAGAGTTTAAATTTTTTATATTTGATGCAGTTATCTCAATACCTCAATGGATTAGTGTCTCTCGAGTGCCAAATTTCGACCATATACATTTACTAAACTAACATCTAATATTTCTTCCCTTGAAATAAAAAAAATAAAAAAGTGATGGGAAAGGAAAATATGAAGTAAAAAATAGACTAATGGAATTTTGTTTGGTTCAATTTCTTAAAAACAGTTCTCAAAAGTTAAAAACTAAATAAATAAATAAAATAAAATAAAAAATTCATAACCATCAATTATACAAATTTTTGTATAATTTTTTTATTTTCAGTTCTCAAAAAATAGAAAATGGTTGTTATAAAAAAAAATTATATTTTCTTTAATTTGGGTCAGAAAAAGAAAGTGAATGAAAAAAAAAAAAAAGTGAAAATGGAGCCATTTTATTTTTCTTTGTTAGTATGAGAATTGGGAATGAACCTTAAATTTTATCTTCTTCATTTAAGTTGAGAAATTAAAAAGATAATTGAGATTTCTCATTCTCTTCTCTTCTCTACTCTACTCTTCTCTTCTCTTTTTTTTTTTTTTTTGAATTTTAAATTTTTATTTTCCAGGGATGCAAAGCTAAAGGAAATAACCAAATTGAGAGGTCAACCTGAGTTATACATTATAGAACATTTTTTTAACCTAATTTGACAGTCAACTCAACAGCTTCGTTACATATTCTTAATTTTTCTTGTTCTATTTTAAAAATTCAATTCTAAAATTGTAACTTATAAATTTTTAAAATAGACATTTAAAATCGGACGGTAGTAATTGAAATTAAGAAAAGGACAAGCTGTTGCACTGCAAAAAGGATTGTACTTTTCTGACATATTGAAATATGCGTGAACTTGATACAACTTAAAGCCCATTAAATCTGAATGCGAAATTTCATTGCATTTCTACCCCTTTACCATTGTTTTGTAGGGCCCAAAGTAATATAGCTGTTGTTTGGCTGGTGTGAGCAAAAGAAATAAAAAGGAAAACAAAAGCAAAATTATTCTTCATAACTAAATAAAATTGAACCTATTTTCAGTAAAATTAAAGAAAAATAACGTCTAAATTTTATTTATCCTCCTTGTTTCCTCTCTCATTTTTCTTTTCTTCTTATTTTTTGGGAAAACAAAATACAATGCTTTCACAAATAAGAATGGATTGATTTAACTAAATCAGTCCCCTATTAAATTCAAAAGAAATTATAATAAATGTAATTTTTACATACAATTATAGAACAATGATTTTCTTAACTAAATTCACTAATAAATCACAAAACCACTTATTAATGGATCAAAGTGGGACCCAATTTTGATGCATCACATGGTGTTAGAGTCAACTCATTGGATGATTGGACACATCTATAGTCATCATCATTTTTCACCCTATTTTCATTGTTGGTCTATTTAATAGGGGTAATCATTTTTGCCTTATTTTCATTGTTGGTCTATTTAACAGGGGCAGTCCTCCCCTTTACTATTAATTATGAACTCATATACAGATTTTGATTTTAGATCTATGACAATATTAACTCTCTATAAAGAAGTAAATGGTAAGAACTCCCCAGTTATATAAAAATTGTGTACAAAATATCCCTCTAGTTTAGTATGAGCATTTTTTTACATATAATATATATATATGTATATATATATATATATATATATATTACTTTTTAATATTTGTTTAACATCAATTTGAACCCCAAAAAAATCATAAAAATCTCAAAATACCATTAGGTTGTGGCTGCATGAAATTTGAGCTTTGAAATTGGAATTAGAATTGCTTAAAAGTAACTCAGTAAATTGAATAAAAAATTTTTCCATTTTTACCAATTTCAATTCAAACTTCATACAATCGAACACAGTCTCAAAAATTTATTCAAAGAGT